GGTTGTCCCAGCTTTAAAAAAAAAAACAAAAACAACAAAACAACTCTCAAGTTAGAACTCAGATTTACCTTTTTCTTTTTTGTCTTTTTGAGGCAGTGTTTCAGCATGCAGTTCAGGCTGGCCTTGAACTCACTTTGTAACCCAGGCTGGTCTCCAACTCACAGTAATCCTCCTGCCGCAGCCTCCTAAATTCTGGGATTACAGGCGTGCACTACTATGCCTGGCTGATTTGTCTTCTGATTTGATCCTTTCCCTTTTTCTGTATCATCTCTTCTATCATGTTGGTTAATGCCTTTTAATGCTTAGTTACCTGTAGTCAATTCTTCCTGGTATACCTAATATTTTGGCTCTAGTTTATCACGTGTATAATGAGGATATTCACACGTCTTGGGGCTGGGGGTTTAGCTCAGCGGCACAGCGCCTGCCTGGCAAGTGCTAGGTCGTAAGTTCGATTCCCAGTACCAGAAAAACATCCCGCCCCCCAAAAAAACCAATTCTTACTTCATAGATGAAATACGGTATGCATATTGGCCCTACTGTACATTCATTCTACATGTGCCCACAGTTCTTGGGAGAATCGCCTTCCAACCATGTCCCCTGGTTCTAGCAGTGGTCACATGATCAGACCTCACCGGAGCAGCATAACTACTGGGTCAGGATGGCAGAAAAATGTCAAGAGAGCTCTCCATGTTATAATCTGAGTCCCTTCCTTGCCTAAAGCCAGATGCACTCCTGGACTAAGTACTACAAAGATTTTTGGATAAATGGTGTATGTAAAGCACTAAGTCCAGCACCTTGCATATTAGTTTTTTTTTCGGTTTTTGTTTTTTGTTTTGTCTTTTTGAGACAGGGTCTCACTATGCAGTTCAGGCTGGCCTGGAGCTCACTTTGTAGCCCAGGCTGGTCTCAAACTCACAACAATCCTCCTGCCTCAGCCTCCCGAGTGCTGGGATTACAGGCGTGCGCCCCATGCCCGGCTGTTAGATATTTTTTTAAAGCTCTGTTCCTTTGCTGCATCCATACCCAATTCAACCTTTCCCCTCCTCCCCTCCCTTCTCCCCTTTCTCCTTCCTTGTGTGTGTGTGAGACAGAGAGAGATGGGGTCTTGTTATGTGGCCTTGAAGTCCGGGGCTCAAGGGATCCTCTTCCTTTCATTCTCCCAAGTAGGTAAGACAACAGGCTCCCACCTGCCCCTACAGACCAGTTAGGAGCATTTCCTTATTACCCCCTGCATAGCGTCCCTTTGCCCGGGCCGCCCTGTCACCAACCTAACAATGACACCCCACACTCTTCACCAATTCACATCCCTCACTACTTAGAACCAAGGTAAAAAAGCTTCCCATCCCCAGGAATCCTCCTTTGAGTAACGGTAGCTCCACACTGTTTGCTGCCATATCTAACTTTTTCTGATACCCCTCTGCTTCTTGATTTTATATTACTTGAAGAGGTGGAGGGGGGTTCTAACTTTACATGTGATCATTCATCTCTTACTGGGTTGAAATTGTCATTATTTTCCAAAGAAACTTGTACAGTTTTGGTCAACAAATGTGTTTTAAGAATAAATGGACTTCAATTTATTTTATTTTATTTTTATTTTATCTTTTTGAGACAGGGTCTTGCTATGCAATTCGGGCTGGCCTTGAGCTCATTTTGTAGCCCAGGCTGGTCTCGCTGGTCTTGAACTTGCAGAGATCCTCCTGCCTCAGCCTCCTACGTGCTGGGATTACAGGTGTGCACCACCACATCTAGCTCTGGCCTTCAATTTAGAGGGTGTGATAATCTGTTTAAGACCTGGTGGTGGCACAGGCCTGTAATCCCAACACTTGGGAGAGTGAGGCAGGAGGATTGTTGTGAGTTTGAA